TAACTTCTATGAGAAAAATTGTTTCGCATAACGAGTGTTTCGCTTAATGAGTATGATTCTGGAACGAATTATGCTCGTTTAGCGAGGTTCTACTGTACTATTTGGAATGTACAGTGATGAAAAAAAAATTTGGCATTCCTTCTCTTTTCACAATCTATTATAATGGAAGTGCAAAAAGTTAATAAACTGTTCGAATCTAAACATGTTGATAAAGTAAATTACTTGACGATCTCACTTTGCTACTTCACTCAGTTGGTAAAAGACTGATGTTCCCAACTTCTAAAGCTGATTTGCTCACTTGAACTATAAAGAGCGATTTGGCTCCTAAGCCATACCGTGGATTTCAAATCGAATAACAATTTAATGATTTAAAAACAAAAGGACTGTTAACAGAGAATGAAGAGAACATCTTAAGAAAACGCTGTGAAGATTTCCTTATCTCATTATTCAAGCAATTGAAGCAGAGACTTCCTAATAATCTAGATGTATTGAAAAATATTTCACTCTTTTCTGTGAGCAACATACTTCTGCCAGTAAAGGACATACCTAAATATTTTAAAGTTATGAAATTTTTATGGGCTACTGATAATTGTGTCGCGGAAGCAGAATATCAGTTAACCAAAATAAACTTAGTTGAATGGACAAACAAAACAGAAATTGAAGCGTTTTGGAGTGAAGTGAGACAATTTAAAGATGCCTCACCTCTTAGATGCTTTCTTGACAATAAAATTAGGCCTGATGAGAGTATGAAAATGCTGTTCAACTTATCAGCTCCCTGATTGGGTTTTAAAAGAAATTGAAACAGCTAAAGCATACCAGAGTCATTTGGGATCTGAAGCTTCAACTTCACCATCCAAGCTAAGTTTGTTCTGTAGATCTTGTGAGGCAGACATCAGTGAAGATGAGGACATGATTCTATAGGGTAAGTCATATCAATAGCTATGTAATTTGTGACTCTTTCCATATGGATATTTTTTCTAGATGTTTCCCACGCAAATTTATATGTTTTTATATATTTTTTGACTCCGTTTTGGGTGGGGGTTTTTTGGGTCAAAGAAAAGTGGCAACATTGCCGGAAGTGAAGTGAAAAAAAAAGTCATTTTACGCCAAATTACCAAATGAAATGTAACATTGTACTCGCAGATAGATAAAACCACTGCAGAAGAATGTCTTGGTGTGTCCACCAAAACCAGAAAGAACAATTGGTTCTATACAAAATGTGAAAAGGCAGTCAGAAAGACAAAATAGGCCAGGCAGATTTGTTGAAATGATACTAGTAACATACGAAATGAAGAAAAAATAGAACAGAATGCGAAGAAGATACAAAAGTAGTTGGGCGCCAAAAGCGAGCATACGTGAACAACATTGTCATGGATATGGAAGCTAACCATCAGAACAACGAATCCAGAAAGTTATTTTTAAAGAACTGAAGGCTGTAAAACGAGGACATCAACAACGCATTTATAGTTTAAAAGATCACAATGGGAACATGATAAATAATAATAAGGAAATATGTAATAGATGGAAGCAAGTACTTTGCTGAATTGTTAAACTGTGAAACTCCACATAATACCTATCCACAGGAAGAGAAATTAACATGTGAACCAAATACTGAACAGCCTGATTTTAAAGAAGTACTGTATGTCACAACACGGTTTTAAAACAATAAAGCAACCGGTGCTGATGGAATTGCAGCTGCACCTTTAAAAACATGTGATGTATAACATATAAAGATATATGAATTAATAAAACTAGCTTGGAAGACGGAGAAATTACCCCATAAATGTAAAGTGTGTTTATTAATACGTTTCTTTAAGAAAGGAGACAAGTATAAGTGTGAAAATTATAGAGGAATATCACTATTATCTACAAGCTATAAGATACTATCGATGGCGGTACTGCTTAACAGGCTAAAACCATACGTCGAAAACATACTGGGAGGTTACCAAGGGGGTTTCCGACAGAACAAATCAACAATAGATTAGATATTCATCTTACGGCAAATAGCACTGATCACATTTACTTCTCAGTACAGATTAATGCATCATGTAGCAGGTCCTTTGCAGAACGTCGCTCTCATCACAGTCTGCCTGAAAGGAACTCGGTCTCTCGTCAGTTGTCCCGTCTCATGTACTTTCACACTCAAGGAGTCACTTATATCCTGTGCCCATCTTCGTGTCAGTCGGCCCCTGCCCCTCCTTCTCGGTACCATGCCTTCTTCTATAATTTTTTTCCAATCCGTCGTGGCGCTTGATATAATCAAAATATTTCAGCTTCCGAGAAAGGATGCTGTTTATTAGCCAATCTTCCTTGATGTTCAGATCTTTTAAGATGTCAATATTTCTCCTCTTCTTTGTCCAAGACATTCTGAGATCTTTCTATAGCATTTCAGCTCAAAAGCCCCTATTTTCTTTTTTAAGGATCGAGAGATATACCACGACTCACATCCGTTTGTAGATACAGGAAAGATGTATGCTCTAAAATTCTAATTGCTCTAAAATTCTAATTTTTATCTTCTCGTTGGTGCTTAACCATAAACTTTTAAGGCTGTTCAATCTTTGCATTGCTATAGCCATCCTTCTTTTAATTTCCATCGAACAGTCTCCGTTGCTGTTTATTATAGAGTCTAGATATTCAAAGTTTGTGACATTTTCAATTTCTTCATCATTTATTGTTATTTTTGGGTGACAGCCAGTTTTTTTTCCTGTGGACATTATTTTCGTTTTCTTTAAATTCAAAAACAGATTTTGATCTTCACTGTGCTTTTGGACGGACAATATTAAATGTTCTATTCCCTTTACGCTGTTCGAAAGGAGGACTATGTCATCCGCGTAGCGGAAAACACCTCGAAATGACCAACAAATTCACACACACACACACACACTATGCTGCTTGTATAGTAATATATAAAGGCAGAAAGTCAGACCCTTTTCAAATAACATCTGGTTTAAAGCAAGGTGATGCTCTGTCTCCACTTCAATTCAACTTGGCCCTGGAGAAAATTATAAGAAAATTGAAACAAGAGTTTACTATAGGAGAAACCACAAGAATACTTGGATATGCTGATGACATTGATCTCGTAAGAGAAAATGAACTAGAGACTGTTAAAACACTGACTGTCCTTAAAGAATCAGCTCAGAAAATCGGACTGGCTATCAGTCAGGATAGGACAAGGTACATTATAATAACTAGACAGGGAAAGGATATAAACTCCGGCCACATACAAGTCGGTAATATGAAAATCAAACGAACGAAAACATATAAATACTTGGGTGCAAATTGCAACTGCTCCAACATGCTGAGAGAAGAAATACAATCTAGAATACAATCTGGAAATAAAGTATACTGTGCCCTTCAACATCCACTAAAAGTCAAACTGTCTGTCTCACAACACCAGATCAAAATATATAAAACGTTGATAAGACCGGTCATTTTATATAGCTCTGAAACTTGGAGCACAGCTAAAAGAGATGAAGCTTTATTACAGGTTTTCGAAAACAGTTTTACGACGAATCTGTGGACCCATCAAAGATGCAAACAGCGGTGAAAAGCAACAACGAAATTCATAATTTGTTCAAATCACCACTGATCACTGGCATCATGAGAGCTAATAGACTGAAATTATTGGGGCATATTGAAAGAATGTCAGAAGACAGAGAAGTAAAAACTGTATACACGAGGGAGATGAATGGTCGTAGACCATGAGGCAGACCAAGAAGACGATATAGAGATGACATCCAGACAACTGTAAACACTTGGTGTCACCAACTGGAAAAAGAAGACCAACGAGAGAGATGAATGGAGGCGGGTGATATCTGCAGCAACGATCCTCAAGGGCTCGGAATGCCGAAGAAGAAGATTGTACTCACTTCACATCCTAACTGGAACAAGTGGAAAATACAGCGTAAACTTTTCAGCCTTAAGTGCAGGCTATATAATATTTTTTATTATGCATGAACATTTAGTTCTGTGCAACTGTATGTGTTCCAGTGTACTCCCCCGACCATGCGCTGTCATGATTTCACTTAAATGCTCAATTGTACGTAGTGCACAATGGCAGTTCATGCTTACAGCAAATTTGCAACTCTGCTGTCTCAACTTTATCATTACTTTACATAGCAGTCATTGTTATAATAAACTATGACTGGCTGTTTGACGGAGTTTTCATCCTGTTTTTAATTTCAGATCTGTTGCACAAGCAAAACTCAGGTTCTGGAACAGGACTGCAGTTCAGAAGTGGACGAACAACCAGAACTTACCGCCAGTTTACAGTTGGTGAACGCGAAGAAGAAATCTTAGACATTCAAATCAAAAGCATTCAAAAGCCGTTTCTTAGTTAACAAAAAAATTAAGAAAAATGTGGATAGTAACTCGTTACCATCATCATCGGGTGCCTTGCCGACTGGCGTGGGCGATCATGCCTCTCCACAATCCACGATCTCCTGCAGCATGTATCAGTTCGTGTGCCGACACACCTCCATGTCATGCAACAATAATTTATAACGAAATTCATAATATGTTTAAATCACCACTGATCACTGGATGGTAACTAAACTAGTTTAATGACAAAACGCATCAGAAGGGGGAAGAAAAGAATAACAGCATTAACTACACACGCGCACACACATAAACACGCAAACACGAAAGGCGATGGCTTTGGCATGACCATTTAGCCTTATTTCAGCAAATTATCTGGCAAACACTGCAGAAGGGAGAGACGAAAAAAACGCAGTGTCGGTCGGTTGGATGGTCGGGTCGTGATTTGTTCACGGATTTCTCATGTAATTCTAACCAATCCTCTGTTTTTCAGCATGTTCGTCGAACGATTTTAAACTTTATTTCTGTGTTTTAATCATTTCATTTCGCGGAGGCGGGCCATAGTCTTTCTGAATGTGAGAAAAGGCTGTGTCAATAAATCCGGCTAAGATTGCAAAAGTCGACCCGAAGTGAATTATTCTACAAAGACGTAGGTAGCAAAAATAGACCCCAGTTGATTCAAGATGGAGGCGGTGGCGCTACATCCATTCACTGCAACAGCCGATGATGAACTGAGTTTTAGGAAAGGGCAGATTTTAAAGGTATGGTTTTGATTTATTTGTACACGTTTTGTGTAGTTTAATTGTACGTTTGTGTGTTTTGCTTGTATGTCACATGTTGCTCGTGTCCTTCTAAATTGAGAATTTGCCACTATGTTTAGCACGGACGTCATTCCTCGCAGCCAGTGGCCCCTGACATTTTCGTATAAATATTCAAATTCTTTCTTCTGTTCGTTGGTTCATATCAAGTGCCGAAAAGATAGTTGGAATATTGAATATTTATCAAAAGTACAGTTTAATAAATTGTTTATTTTGTTCGTAAGAATGATAATAATGGTAAATTTAGGGCGTGAGAATAAATAACCCTAGCTGACCCACTAAACTAAACCACTTCCCTACTTACCGACTTCTACTTTGTCCCTCTTATCTAGAACAGAACAGATTAGAGGTGTGGGGTGAACAGATTCGTCTTCCTGTTTACTTACATGTAATCTTTAGCATAATCTCTAAATTACCTTTTCTTCATACTAATTATTTTTGTTTAGTACAATTGGTCTTTTTACCTCTTTCAGATATATAGTTTCATGTAATGTGGGCCTAATTTGTTGAGTAGGTATTAGTATTACAAGTATTACTATTATAGTTATACTGTACAGAATGAAACAAACTGAAGTTCATTCAGTCTTTTTCTAATGTAATCTATGTCCTAGTTTTCTGGCTGTTTTTTTTTTTTAAACCATAATTTTTCTTTACAACAGATTTTGTTAGTTTTATTTTACTTTTTTTTTATTTGCTACAAGAAGACAGTAATTTATTATAAATCAGTTCATAATGTGCTCCTTAGTATCGATAGTTTAATTAAATCCTTTAAGAAACGCCATATATATTATATGTATAAGCAGTAAACAGGGAGCCACCCTAGTGTAGTGGCTAGACACTTGCCTGAGTATTGTGGGTTCAAATCGAAATATAGCTGGAAAATGACCTTGGGTGCCAGGTAAAAATCTGGTGATGCTGACCCGGTCACCCACCAAGCGCTGATTGGTCTATAAAATATACTTTTATAGCCCTAGAGCTATGTGCCTGAAAGCATGGAAAAAGGATCCTTTACTTTTACTTGCAAGCAGTAAACAAGCCAAACTATTTTTTGAGGCAGATGTGTAGTTCTGCTAAATGCTTATCATTCCTTGAAAAGCAAAAAATCGGTAATCTAGATGTTTTGAAAGACGCTAAAACTCAAAGACAACTTATCAATTAATCACAGATCCAACTTTATAGCAAATGGGTCACCTCATAGTTGTTCCGTTCCTGTGCCAACAGATCGTACACAGAATGTCCATCACTGTCCCTTGAGTTCTAGTTCTGATGGTACCAGTTGTAGTTTGGTTATATGGTCAAGATTGTCTTTCCTCAGAGTGGAGAGTATTGACCAGATCCCCTGGTCACTCCTGGATGTACCATCTTCTCCAGAATGTCCATCCCTGTCCCTTGAGTTCTAGTTCTGATAGTACCAGTAGTAGTTTGGTTATATGGTCAAGATTGTCTTTCCTCAGAGTGGAGAGTATTGACCAGATCCCCTGGTCACTCCTAGCTGTACCATCCTCTCCATACCATAATGATCTGTTTGTGCCTCTGCATTGTTCACTTCCAAAGAACAGTGACCACATCTAGCTTATACATAAATTCACCACCCATTGGAGCAGAAACAGCCAGTCTGTCTACCAGTTGATTTCCCAAACAGTCCTGCATACCCCAAAGAATGTAACTACTTGGAACCTCTGAAGTGATGCTTGCCATTTTGCATATCTCTATCTTTAACATGCTTTTTGAGTTGGTTACAATCTGTTAGTGTATGTATATAAATGTATACTAGATAACAACATTTAGATTTGTGTGTTGATATATTATTTGAAAGTCAAGTGGCCTTTGTCTGGTAGTAGTAGTCTTAGTTTCAGCTTCATAGCAAACGGTTCACTCCATCTTTGCTCTGCTCCTGTGCCAACGAAAAACACACAGAATGTTTATCACAGTCCCTCGTGGAAAGATTGACAGACTGCTGTCTCAGCATATCTAGCATACACTCGCATTAAAGCATATGGTAGCCATCGTAAGTGCTAACACAAACAGTCCGACATTAGAAATTCAGTTCATCATTGATGGTCACCAACAGATCAGCAGTTCCCCACACGATCAATTTTAATCACATACGGGCACCACCAACATTGCACGACAGGAATCGTGCCATTTTCTGAATCTACAATTCACACCACCATGTTGGTCACAGTTGAAAAAAACATTTCAAATGATATCCGCAGCTCACAGTGTCAGGCCATGCATTCAACTCAGGAGCTGGGCGACAAAACTATATCCAGTCTACAAATGGAGCAAAAATGCATCAGCCACCGTCAGGCAGAAGCAAAAAATTTGCCTCGGCTCCGAACAGTGCCCCTGTCTAGCGTCCATTTTGACCGGAAGTGGTCTTTGATGATGCTATGTGAATAGTAAGGCCTTATATATAACAGTGCATAGTAAAATGAACAGGATTGACCAGTTTTTTTTAGTTTTTTTTTTAGTGTGTACATCTGAACAAAATACTTGTTGTCCACTTTGTGATGCTTTTATATCTCAAATCATTCAAGGTAAAAAAAGGGGAAGGGGGTAAGTGGGAAGGAGGAATACTTTTAAACCAGAGACCGGCATATTGACAGACGAGTGTACCAGTTACTATGTATAACTCCGTGTTGATCAGAACTGTCTTAACATGGTTGTAGACAAGAAAAAACAAACTTCATGATCTTTACAATCTACAATTTCCTCCTCCAGATTTTGAGCACATTTGAAGACAAGAATTGGTACAAGGCAGAACTCAATGGGAAAGAGGGATATGTACCTCATAATTATATTGAAATGTATCCCCATTCGTAAGTGACATGCTTTGCTTTATGTATGTATTTTTTTTTTTTTAATTTATAAAGTGTCTGGGCAGTTGCCATGCTGAAGCAGGTTTTATTTTCTTCTTCGTTTTCACCTCCTGTAAACTCCATGGACATTTCTGGTTCTTCATCCACTTCTGGACTCTAGTCCTATTCCAGAACCTGAGTGTTGCATGCACATCTCTGTTACAGATCTAGCTTGTTTGTATGCAGACTATTGGTTCCTTGTCTCTCGGGCAGATGCATCTACTTTGAAAGAGACATCCTTAATTTGCCTTTTATTATACATTTGTTGGGGGGGGGGGGGAAGGGATCTGTTCTCCGTCCTTCCCCCAAAATGGGCCCCCGGGACACACAGGCAGTTGAATCCAGCAACCTTCTAGGGCATTGATTTCCAGTTTGCTGAGACCTGAAGACCCCTCAGATTTTTCTTTCTTTTTTTAACGGCCTGCCATGGACCCCATAATTTGTAAGTCATATTTAGGTGTTTTTTGTTGATTATATCCTGGACCCCTTAAATTTGTTCTGCAGACCCCGGGAGATGGGTGGGAGGGTCCGTGGATGTGAAACATTGTTCTTTTGTATGTCAAAAGGCAGGGTGTTAACACTTCTAGAACATACTTTTGATTTTTATTATACTGACAGCAGAGGTCAGCACTGTTACAGAAACAGATCTGTGACAGTACACACCGTTTTTGCACACCTTTCTTTTTGCACTGAAATGTTTCTAAATGATTTTTGATTCTAGTAGCTAACCTTTTGTTGTTGTTAAAGACTTTATTTTTTGCAAATCTTAGCCATCAGTGTTCTGGTAGTTTGATAATTTTTTTCACATATGTGGTAAATACTTTTGATTAGATTTATTTTTACTTCTGTAGCCCCTTCTGATAGTGTCCTGAGAGTTTGTTTGTCTCTACGCCTCCACTTTATCACAATTTCTGATTTAATTTTGCTTCTTATACTCACCGTCAGTACAGTGTTAAAATGATGGCAGGTAATAAGTATGAAAATAGAGTATAACAGTTTAAATGATCTCATAATTTCATATATTTGTGGATCACAAAAAGAACATTGGTGACATAATAATTTGTGTAGCTTCATATTTCCTAAGAAACTGGCAAACTAAATGAAAAGAGTATATGGAAAAATTAATTGCAGATTTTTTTCATGAGGAAGCAATATTAAAAATGTGACAGACATATAATCAGAGTGCTACTGGCACCATAGGTATTGTAACTCTGTGCTGGCTGCTGTAGATAGGGACGGAGAACTTATAGGAATGCCTGCGAGTGCTGTGATGTCGGTTCTTTAACAAACTCAGCTCAGTCGCATAAAAATATGTGTGCAAATGTGATATTCCCGTGATATTCCCAGTGGGCATGAACATTTTCCAGGTGGGGTTAATTGGAAACGCAACACAAGTAAAAGTTCAGTCTGTTGATTTCCTTCACTTATTCACAGCAAAAACAAGTTCACCCTCATGATCAGACTAGATAAGATGAAGATCGTGAATTTTTTGCCCAGTTCATTCGGGTGTGCGTGGTCATGAGCAGGCTGATAGATTGGCTACTGCTGCCTCTCTGGGCAGTGAACTACTTTATGATAAAGCAGATGTGATGTCTCTTTGTAAGCTCTGTTCTGTAAACAGTGCAACAGAACAGACAGAGCATCAGCATATGGAGAGAATGATTCAGCTGGAATGATTTACTACCTGGGGGGGGGGGGGGGAGGGGGGAGCAGGCAAACTTTTAAACAGGTTATAATTTTTTGCTGGCTACTGAGAAAGGAAACGAAGCAGGCAGTGGTGTCACTTTTTAATTTATTCATCCACCCATCTATTCATTCAAATACAAATATATTTGTAAATTGTTTTTAAGAACGTCTCTTACATGAAGAAAATGCTTACATAAATTGATTTATTCTCTTTACATTCAATACAGATGGTATGTAGGTAAAGTCTCTAGAACAAAGGCCGAAGAAATGCTGTTACGATCAGAGCAACCAGATGGGGCATTTCTTGTGCGGAATAGTGAAAGTGCCCCAGGAGAATTTTCCATCAGTGTTAAGTAAGTCATTTCCTTGTTTTATGTTTCCAGTTTATGCCACCATTAAGTAAGTTGCATTGGGTTTTGCCAAGCCTCTAGCAGCCTGTGTGATGTTGACCACATCATCCACGGAGTGACGCTTGGCCCATACAGCATAGGTCTGGTACTTTATATATAACATGCCCAAGGCATGGAAAAGGGCTCTTTTACTCTGGATCAGTACATTCCATTTTCCACAAGCATTTTAGGGATTTACCGTCTGTAGCCTTTGACTCTCCTCAGTCTGCCTGCAAGGCAACAGGGCTGTGTCTAGGTCTCGTTGTGCCTGTCCGTTGACCTGTCCAACACGAGAGTCCCTACCATTAGCTAAGCAATTGTCGACATAGCTCTTGGGGTCATAGGAATTCACAAACCACTCTGCTTCTTAAAGATTCAGACATATCAGTTAAGGTTAAATTCACGGTAAATTTGAAGACAAATTTCCTCACAAAGTGAGGTGTTCTCATGCTCTGTCATGACATCAGATTATTCAGTCTAAATGCCGTCAGTAGTCAGTGAAATGTCACTCCTCAAGTGTTTCACATTTATGACGGGATCATGAATTTATTTTGTATGGTGCTTCTCCTTAACTCAACTTGCACTCCTTCATTTGATAAAGTGTTTTTCTCAAGTTTTCCCTACTGTGTTCAGAATTTTCCAGTGTTCTGATGAACACTCACTCATGAACTGAGTTAGCCAACGTGTGTGTGACGTGACTGCTTCTTTTTTTTCGATTGAAACCTGGTTTAGCCTAGTGTCTTGGTTTTCTGTATTTGTCTGGCACTTCTCAGGTGGCTTGGATGATGGATTTATCTATTTGCAGGTTTCAGCTACTCCATGTACCCATCCCTTCCTTGGTCTTCCCCTCACCTTCCTCCCAGATGTTCTGCTGCAAACAAATATCATATGCAGTTTGGCTGCATTCTCTTTAGATGGGCAAACCATTTCATTCTTTGTCTGTCAATAAAATTCAGACACTGCCTTGTTCCAACCTTCTCTCTAATGCTGGTATTTGGGATGCTGTCCCTTCTCGTGTTATTAGTGACCTGACACAGACGGTGCATTTCACAGGTAGTTATTCTTCTGCTCTCCTGCCCTGTTTATTGTCATCCTGCACCAGTAAGAAATGTAGTAGCTAGTTATATTCATTAAGCCTAGTTCATGATACTTACCATGTAAGTCATGGAAATAAAAAATAAATATCCAGTAAATGACCAAAAGTTCAGACTTTCACTATGCCACCAGAAGGTTTCTGTAGAGCTTTGTAATTTGAACAATACAGATTTGGAATCATCAGATTAACAGTTACATATACAGTGACACCTCTTTAACACAGATTCCAAGGGACCGAACAATAAAGAGTTTTATGTTGAAAAAATTTCTGCTACTATCTGAATATATTATGAATAATACATCCCTGCTAGAACAAAAATTGTGTTTGTCTTAAGCAGGTTGATGTTAACGAGGCTGTACTTACTGTACTCAACCCTACCAGACCCGAGGCCCTGAACTATACTTAGTGTATTTAACCATACCAGACCTGAGGCCCTGAACTATACTTAGTGTATTTAACCTTACCAGACCTGAGGCCCTGAACCTGACCTCCTGGGCATTAACGCGAAAAAACCAACATGATATACAAAAATATTAGTTACATGCAAACAAGTGGTTGGAATAAAATAAAACTTGAAGACATTGTAAAAAATCGGTTTACCTTTCATATAGAACCAATATACCACCTTTGTGTGCCAATCCACCTAACAGGATCAGCCTTCTTTCACAAAGAGAGCACCAGATGTTGCTGTTTGAGGGACACGATCCCCTTCTCTTACTATCGATCTAGTTTTAAATCTATAATTTTCAAGATTCTCCTCATCATTCCAGCTCTCACTGAATGTGTCACTTTAACTGGGAACTTATTCTTCATGAAATTCTGACTCCTTTGTCTGAATCAACCAAAGTTTATTGATCATCTTTTAGACTAAAAAACCTAGACCTACTTCAAGTGCTTGGTTCATCAGCTGCCCGTTTCATTGTGAATTTTATGAATTTTTTTACGTTAAACCACACAAAAGTAAATCCAAACACACATGGGCTTTCATTTGCAATGACTAACCACAAGGTTTGATCACGATTGGTGGTTATTTTAAGTTTGTGCCGCGTTTTATCACGTAGTACGCAAAGTTCTGACAATGAAGTACAGCGGTTTAGTGGAGATTAGGAAATTACTGCAGAAGTGGTGCATTGGTATGGTATAGTTAAATGAAATTTGCAGGGGTGTGTGCATTTTTATCATTGTTTGCATTATACACTTTTTATGTTTTTTCATTGGTCTGTGCTTAGGTGTTAAGTACGCACCTTGTAATTCCAAAGTACCCGGTTCAATTGAACTCAAAGCAGTTTGGCAGCAGACCACTCTTTGTTGATTTCTACAATATTATGGAACACCAGAAAGAGAAATCTACATTCTTTTGATCATGTTGATGAGGAGAAAACTGGAGTACATTGTGACAGTTGGAGTGGAGGAGAGGCATAAGATGCTAGACATTGTGACATCATGGCATGGAGGATCATCTGTGGCAGAGTGATTGGAAAAGTACACAAGACAGAAGGTTGTGGATAGACATGACTGCCAGTGCCACACGGCATGGACTTTATGAAGAAGAAGATGAAACATTGACCATGCAGAAAGTGGTGGCAAACTACTGAATGTCAAATTGCCAGAAAAGCTACTGATGTTGATTCACCAACATTCGGTAAAGGATGCACAGCTAACTTTTCCCCTTCATTGTAATTTTGCAGGTTCCAGAATGGCATCCAACATTTCAAGGTGCTGAGGGATGGTGGGGGCAAGTATTTCCTGTGGGTGGTCAAATTTAACTCCATCAACGAACTGGTGGAGTACCATAGGAAGGCCACAGTCAGTCGGTCACATGACATTTACTTCAAGGATATGGTTCGGCCAAGTCTGGAGGTGCGTCATTTGATCTTTTAATTAACTTTAAAGGTCATTTTAGCATATTAAGGAGTGTCTGGCCAAGGTGCTGCTGGGCTGTCATTCAGGAGGCCCAAATTAAAACGCTGTGTAAGGTGATTAATATTTTTCTGTCAGGGCCACAATTTTAAATCTTAACCTGTAAAATCCATGATGACTGCATTAGCCATACAGCCCAAAATCTTGAGGTTTCGGATACCCCCGCCCTCATACACTGCCCTGCAGAGTGGTAAATCCAGAGTAAAGATTTAAAAAAAAATAATAATAAAAATTATGCAGAGCGGATAATTCCCCATTTTAGGGGAAAAACAAGAATAGACTCGCTGCCACCCCAACAAGCATGTTGTAAGAGTTGCGGGGGGGGGGGGGGTTTCATTCTAAGCCAGCGTACTCTATCTGAGAGGCAAGGAACCAACAGTTTGCATACTCATAGGTAAGATCTGTAGAGTGGATTTCATGGAACACTTGGATTCTGAAACAAGATTGAAGTCCATGAGTGGACAAAACACCAGAATTTACAGCTGGTATACGCGAAGAAGAATTCTCTTGTTAGTAATGTATATTTTTGTGGTCATCACTGCCTGTTGGGTGAAGAAGCATATTGGGCATTACACTAGCCTTATCCTAGGAAGAGGAAATACAGCATGAAAACTGCATCTTATGGCAGGGGAAAACCATGCCATTGCCCTTGACTGGCAGTTATTCTAGGAAGAAAGCTCTAACAGGTAGACAGACCACACTTCTCTTCTAGATTGGGATTTTCTCCTTACTAGCATTCACCATCTGTAAACTTTGGCAGAAAGTTCTAGTTGGTCATTCACTTTGGGGGAAAAGGGGGGGGGGGGGATCCCTAATTATTTGCTTTTTGGTAGGGCTACCCCCCCCCCCCCCCCCCCCCCCCCCCCCCCTCCCAATGAGTCCCCAGAACCCAAACATGGAGTTTTGGACGGGATTGATTGGATTTTGCAATAGTTTTCAGGGCAATAACGGGCCTTTCTGTTTGCATCTTACAAATTACTTTTCAGTGTCTCTAATATTTCTGCGGTCTATATTCTGCATGTTTGACCTCTGGCTCTGTTACCATTGTGTCTGTATAACATTGCTTTCTGTGTCTGAAGCCAGTCTTGTTACATGGCCAAACCATTTGATTTGTTATCTACCTATAAGGTTCAGTATTGGTTCTGTGCCTCCTCCTGAAATTGTTCCTAAGTTAATCTTGATTTTCAGTGAGCTGAGCTAATCTCGTGCCAAGCCTCCTTAAGTCACCACGTAATAGTGAATAAAATATAACTGTGTATGTTATGATAACATGTGCATGAAACGACACTGTAAGCACTGTATTTCTTGAGGAATGTTAGTTAGTGACCCCAGAGAAAATTGTGAGCGGCTGGATGCCACAGAATTGATGGTGTGCCTTATGCAATATTGCATGCACATCTGCTGGTTTGTCGTAATTTTTGCTTTCATCAACTGTGAATTTCAGTTTTAGTGACAGACTTGGGTGTTTGCACCTCTGGTGGTACCTTATATATTTGATGCATGTGCGTCCTGTTATATTTTGCTGTGCTTACCGTCTGTTTTACTTACCACATGGAAAGGTGATGGGCATTTTGTGTAGTTTTCACTGTCACAGGGGTGAAGCAATTATGGGGTGACAAATTTGAAGACATAAAGAAAAGAAATCAGATCATTAGAACAGTCTGATAGATTAGGTTGTTTGTGATAACTGATGGCGCATTTATAACACAGGGAATAATTCAAGAACATCATTTGATCTGCAGGAGATGGCAGAAGGTAAAATTGCTGATCCCTATGTGGGTTCCGATGCGTGGATATCACAGCCTAGCAGTAAACCACAGCACAGCGTACCAACCATCCTTTTAAAGGATTGTGTTGAAAGACATTAGAAGATAAATGTTGTGTAGCTTATGAAGATTATCATTTTAAAATGCCAGATCTTTAAAGTTTTTGTTCCTGTTATCAACGGTATACTTTTGTTTCAAATAAAATTTAATCCATTCTGTTTTTTCCCAGGTTCAGCGAGTACGTGCTATTTACGACTTTGATGCTCAAGGATGCGATGAACTCGGTTTTCGTAAAGGAGATATTATTAAAGTCACCCAGAAAGTCGACGAGAGCTGGTGGCGGGGTGAACTCAACGGCCATGAAGGGATGTTCCCTGTTACCTACGTGGAGCGTTTACCTGATGATCATCACTAGGAAGGGAAAATTCTCACAACAGTGCTCCATTTATTGATGTTACTAATGCTCTCAAGAAACACAAGCATAACAATACAGTTACAGGTGGTGTGTACCTAGACAATCAAGAACTGTTCCTGTGTTGTGGGGATGACTTCCTGCAGGAAAATTTCCTTTGTATGAAAAAACAACACGGTTATAAAGTGCACATTTGACAATCAGTAACTATTTTTGTGCTGTTAGAAAACTGGGCAGAATTGTCCCTTTGCATAAAAATATGTGATGTGTACACTAGACGATCCGTGAGTTTATATGCTATCAGAGGATAACTGCACGACAAATTTTTCTTTGCTACGTGGGCCTTAAATCCACTGCTACAGTAGGTTTCCTTGCCTGGTGGTTTTATGGCCTGTAAGCCAACCCCAAGTCGGTTGAAACATCATTCTTGTGTTTTCGGATATACTATAACTACAAAGAGGACTCGTTCAACAAACAGATTAATGGTGATCGTCACTTGATTTGTGTGGGGCTTTTTCAGATTTTTTTGTACAGAGGATATGTGATATCACAGTTGTAGAAACACATTTGCTTTAAGCTTTGTTTCCACTTATTTTGTCTTTTTTTCCCCATTTAATGTTAATAATAGATTTAAACCTGTTTCAGTATTTAAAATTGTTTTCTAATAGGCATGCAGTTGAATGAATTGTGCCTCACATAAGGATGTAGGTGTATTGTCCTCTTGAAATATCTAGTCTTTCTTTTAATGTATTCCAGCATTTTATTTTATCCATGTACATTGAAAAAAAAACAGGTACTATATGCACTGCATGCAGTATTGTGTGACTTGAAGCAGATGGCTTTTTAAATTGAGATTTTATAAATGATAGCTTCAGATGAGAAAATGTATATTCTTTGCAAACATCATGAGAAAAGGGGACGGGAGGTAAAATTTTGTGGTGACAGGAAATTTTTAAGTAATATAAGCCAATGGAGACTAATAAAGGAACACATTTGACATCAACTAGAAGACTGTAGACCAGGAGTGGGCAAACTTTAGCCCATGAGGAAGGGGAAAGTTAATATATAATCTCTCTCTCTCCCTTTCTCCATCTCTCTCTTCTCTTTCTCTCCACAAACACTCGCGCATGCACACACACACACACCCCCTCCCCCTTTTCTCCAGTAATATGGTTTCTGCAAAAAGCCAGCTTGAATTGGCACATTTAGGAATATTTAGAAGCGTTTCAGTGGTTGAATATTTCTGGTCAGAATTGTGGCGAGGGGTTATGATCTTATATTATCCCCCAATAATATGGTGTTACTAGGAAATCTGTGTGTTTGTAATGAACATTTTTCTGTATGTCCCGCGACCATGTTGGCAATGATAAATTTGACCCTTGGACCAAAAAAAAAAAGGTTGCCCACCCCTGCTGTAGAATCACATGATGATGAGCTTAGACTTACGGCATGGGCAGTAAGAAAAAGAAACATTTTGAGAACCCTGTACCAACCCCATTATAAGAAGCAAGACTCAGGCTGTGCTTACAGGTGTGCTTCTGCTTCTTTTTACTGACATTGGTGATGCGTTTATTGTTACATTGTGTGGAAACTTATATGACACCCAGTACATGTAAATTGTGGCGAGTGAGATCAGAAGAGGTTGGAAGATAAGAGAGCTGCTAGATTCAAGTTTCAGTTCATGTAAGGCGGAGGCGTACATTGATGATGTGATTTGGCAAGGATTAAAAAATGTAATGCTTGAAGAGCATTTGGTAGTTGACTAAACTGTTCAATCACCAGGAAGTGGTTTCTGTGCTGCGGTGATCAAGCTGTTTGTTTCATGTTCTGAAGGTCAGGAATAAATAGCTCTGTCCTAATACGGGGCGCATCATTTTTTTTTTTTAAGCCCCATCCTGGCTGTCATCAGGGGCCCTAATAAAACCAAACCGAAGAACCAGGTTTCTGGGTCTTGCACCTGTGGGATTCTCATTCGAATGGTGGCACCACTTTGTGTCACTGCGTGTTAATCGTTCGTCGTGGGGTTGAAGGTCACTTTACGATCATGGCTTTTTTTTTTACTGACTGAGCTGTTCTGCTAATAGTTTATTTTCCCCTGATCTCTGGGGATTTGCTGCCGGAGCTGAAGTTTGTGTATGGTATGCCCTTTAGTAAGCAGGTAGCCGCTCTGTGGAAGGAAACCTATCGGAGCAGAAAAAGAAACAAACTAGGGTTAGTAATGCTGTTTCTCTCTTTTTCAATTTTTTGGTGTGTGGTAATCACCAGGTAATATAAACTTTCATAGGTTAGTTTACCCTGATGTTGGTTTACTCAAGTGACATGGATTAGTTACCTGTTTACCCATTTGTTTGTTTAATCTAGTCTTAGTCGAGGTTTCAACTTCACTAAGGTCAGGTCACTCTATTTCTCCGTTGCTGTGCCAATGAAAATAACATGAGGTGTCCCTCACTGTCTCATTTGAAAAACTGGTAAACACACAATTAGTCCTGGCATAATCCAGAAATATGCACTCGAAGTCAGTGCATACAGCAGCTAGAGGTGCCAGAGCCAAGTCCCCACCAGAAATGCAGTTTGTCATTGATGAAAGTAGTCAGTCACTGTAAGTTGGATATACACACATAAAATTATTACATAAGGTAGTAAGTACATAACCAGCCCACATATAAACCGGCTACCAGCTATGTTCAGTTTGACGACTCAACCGATGCAGTCAAATGTGTAATATAGTGACATGGGTTAGTATATCTCGGTGTTGGTTTAGTCTAGTGACATGGATTCATGCAAATTAGATAATTAGATAAATTGAGTTAAGCAGCTAACTGTGGTTGGGGAATTATCCACATCTGTTTTCATAAAACATTTATGACATTGAATTATCATTTTATTGGAAGTTGGGGGGGGGGGGTATAAATGAACATGCTGAGTATTTTGTATTACTTTCTTCAAATTATGTCTTTTCTAGTTTCTTCATGGCCTTTTACAACACAAACACTGAATTAATCTAGAGTATTCTTGCAGTCATTGTCTCATTGTGGGTGTACAGAATAATGTTCTCAGAATTGCAATAAGCTTCACACTGAATGTAAACTGATGTATATAAATATAAGCTGGCTAGTAAATCTGTAACTTGTATATGATGGTTCAGCATCGAGTCAGTCAGTTGCAGATTATATTTCTTGTATTATAAATGGATGAACAACCAGAACTTAACGCTGTAGGTTACAGCCGGTAAAGGCAAAAAAGGCACTGGGCTTTACATCTGGTTTGCCAGTCAGCTGGCTTTTCAAAGGAAAACTGGTGTTTGAAACAAAGAATGTCTCTGTGTGTATATACAACTGTATCTATATGCTTTATGACAAACAGATGGCAGATATGATTTTTTTATATTATTTTTTACATTGTTGACATTTAGGTGGCTCGAACGTCTCAACAGTTTACATATTTGATCATATAATGGTTCATCCCCCTCATTCATTTGTTCTTTAATCAAATTTTTTTTTTTGCGTTTAGCGGCTGTAAACTCCAGCGGAAAGTTCTAGTTGTTCATCCAATTCTGGACGTCTTGTTGCAGAACCTTAGTTTTGCATACACATCTGTTTTACAGTTACGGATCTGACTTATTTATATGCAGTCTGGTGGTTCCTCGCATCTCATGCCATCAGAATGCTACTGGCACTATTAGTATCGGAAGCCCCCGCATATTCATCATCACTGTCGTCATAAACTTATTCTGCTGTTAAGTGGCGTGAGGAGGAATAATTTGCGATCCAGTGCACGCTGACTGCCACTGGCTAATGTCATGCCGTGAAGGCGTAGAGTGTCTTTAATGCCGATCCATCCTCTTGCTCTTGTAAGCTGATCTTCTGAGATGTAGTGCTTGTGATGGTATTTGATCTTGCTGCTTTCTAATGAGATGTCCAAACCACTAGATCTGCTGTTTCTTGATGAATATAGTACAAGGTGTTGTTCCCATAGTTTGGAGAGACTGAAATAGACAGCACTGTATAACAGTGGTACATTTGTTGGGTCACTGTGTATTAACTGCCAGTGTGTGTATGGGTTTGTCCACCAAAGCTGTCAGTGTCATGCCAAGTTTTTCCTACGACATGGGGGGGGGGGGGGGTGTCTGTTTTTTATTCACGTGAAAGGGAGCTCCAGAACTCAGACGTGAGATAGATCAAAATAAAACAATACTGTTCACGCAAGTACACATTATTTCAGAGATCTTACTGTTCAGACATGATTTTCTCGAAACAAGGATCTCGCACTTGAGGTGTCTTTAACATACTGCCAATGAATATAAGGTTACAAGACATAGATTAAGGCACTAGATTGTTAAGAGTAATTGGGTCAGCTAAAGACAGATGGGATATTTCATCTAAATGGATCTCTTTTTAGCCATGAAAGAGGTGCAGTGGTTAGCTTGAGTCTCTACTGACATACCTTATGCTTTTTAACAAAACATAATTGAGAATAAGTTTATAGTCACTTGTGGATTCCCCAGTGACAGAGGTATAGTCCAGTATCTAATTGAGAGGATTGCTTTTCTATAGCTCTAGATTTGATCCAGTCTTATTTACCTCCGCTTCTTCTTCTCTCTCTGACCATGATGTGAAGGCCACATCTGTAAAGTTGTGGTGTGAGACATGAGTTAAGAGTTAGATTATCCTTACAGCACTCCGGACACATCCATCGACGCTCAGATTTCCCTCTCAACATATTCATCAGACATGTCCTCTACTGATCCGTTTGGCTTGGTTTCCACTCTTAATGCCAACTAGCCAGACCTGGCATCTTTTTACTGCATGTAGAAAGTCTTTCTGGCACATGTCTGCATCACTGGGGTTTTTGTCCACATGGGAAAGTCTCAAGAGTGTCAGATAATTTATTGAGAAGCTGAGACATCATCTATTGACCATTTCTATCAGTCTGTGCTCGAGAACAACAGCTTATAAAAAATTTGTTTTCTGATCCAGTATAGTACAACCTGGCAAAACTTGCTG